TGTACACCACACTTACACTGTGCAGAACCACAACCCCTGTGCTCCACACTGACGCTTTAATTCCCTGCAAATTTCACACAAACTTTGATAACCAAAGGAATTTTCATGGACTTCATACTAAGCGATGAGAGTCACCACACAAGAAAGGAGCCACATTCCCAGGCTGGATGTTGGGGATGACTGTGACCAGATTACATCAGCTCCTCTGTAATCATCTTCACTTGCTGCCTCCAGCCACCACCAAGGTCTGCACATCCCATTTGCCCTCAAGAGGACTGCAGGGCCAGCACAGAGCCTGCCGAACCTCCCATTTTCCCTTGAGTATCACAGGCAACATGAATATTAACACATCCTCTTTTAAGCAGCGAGAAGTCTTTCTTTCCCCCTTCTCCTGTAATAAATTCCACCCATTTCCCAGGGAACGGAGCCCTTTCTTTGGGAGCAGCTCAAACACCAGCGCTTCCTGTGAACACTACATCTCTGTGGAGCACAAAAGGCTTTTGTGCGGCCGAGCGGGGCCGTGATGGCGAGCGGAGCCCTCAGCTTGGCAACAAACCACAACCCCCGGGTGTGTTTCTGTAAAAATTTTATTTGTTAAAGGAAAAGAAAAAGGCAGAAGCCAATTGAAAACCTGCTCAATCTTTAACTCCAATTGGTCATTAAATTTAGAGAAATGACTTCGGTTTTATGTTTTAAACAACCCCCCCCTTTTTCCCCTTTAAGCGTTTACCATCTACTCGTGCTGAATCCTTCCAAGGAGATCGCTCCAACGCACCTCTCCAGGTCCTCGCTTTGCTCCTTTTACCAAAAACCATGGAAAAACTCCATCGTGCATCTTAAGGGCTCCCATCGTCAAAAATAGGAAAAAAAAAAGGTATCTTTGGAATAGCCAATTGAGTTGAATAACAAAAAGACTCCACACGAGTGCGGTTTGGTTGGGGCAGGAATCCACTCCTATGTTCCTGGTAATCTGATCCCGCTCCATGAATCCTTGTAATTCAGCCTCCCTATCCTATCCACATTATGATTTGAATCCAATGATCCAGCTCCAAGGATTGGGATCCAGTGAGCCCTCTCCAATCCAAACCTTTATAACCAGCAAAACCAAAAAAGAGGAGGCAAAAAGTTAGATACTGTAATGAAAAAATAGGATTCTGGGGAATGATCAGTTATGTTTGCCATCAATTAACAGAGATGTACAGTAATAACTATCAATTCCCCAAAACAAACTCGTGAATGGTGATGCTCAGATAATTCTTTCTTAGAAATGTTAATTACTACTGGGAGGAAACATCTGTCATATTTACAATATGTCAACTGAAAATGCCAACATACTCATCGCTCGCACGGCTTTGTGGTCGCAAAAAACGGGCTACGAAACTGGAAGAGCTTTAACTGCTAACACTATCCACCTGCTGCAGGCCTGAGCTACAACAGCATTCCCGGCTGGAAGGGAACGCTGGGAACTGGAGTTCGCAAACGGATCGGTGAGTCAATTGACAATTAGTCTGAGGGGGCAGGGCTGAGACTTTAAGTTATTCCCCACTTGGTTGTCTAAGTTGTTGGTTGTATTTTTGCTTTCAGTCTGATACTTTAAGAAATGCAATAGCAACGCTGTATCAGTCACACAGAGGACATGCAGATTTTAGCAGTATTGATATTATACTCCGATTTAAAGATACCCTTTGATCTACTACAAGTGCACAAATACTACAGAACATTTAACACTTGTAACCAAATGCTACATGACAAAGTAAACCAAAACTCCCACCCCCGACCCGGTTTATTCCTTAAAAAACCTAAAAATAGAATGGAATAATGGACTAGAGAATAAACAAAAGCAAGTATTTAGCCACAATTGCCCCCCCAAAAGAAGAGTTTTAAAGCAAAGAGCAATTGTAGCCTGCAGTAACTAGACCATGCCTGACGTGACACAGAGGTGCACGCACTCCATTAGCCTGACTCTCAGTATAAGGTCAATACTGCCAAGTTCATCTGTGACAATAGCACTTGGAGTCATACCATTGCCTCCATTATTGATCTGATCCTCCTCAATCCTCCTTTTGACAATCCTAAAATGATTGACATGTGCTCCACAATCCTTTAATCCAAAGCATTCTTAATCCATCTCTTCAGATATGTCTACAGAAAGACACACGAAAAGGCAAGATAAAATATAAGATCCCCCAGAAGAGACAAGTTAGCCACAAACATCCCAACATCCCCAGCTCGTATAAACCATAGCTGAACACTGAGACATTTACACAGCAATACCACAGCTCCAAGAATGTTGGTATTTGAACTAGAAACTAAACCGAAACAATCCTGACTGACATCAATTAAAATACAATTTACCAAAGACATGAGGGGAATGTCGATGTGAAGGAGCAAATACTCACTAGGGATTTTACACAAGAATGCAATTCAACACTTTAGCCAATTCGAGTAAAACAGTTGGAATTAAAAAAAAAAAAAGAGGATAATGAAAGACTGTACTAAAGGAAAACTGTGTACAACATGGGCTTCTACAAAAAGATCAGAGCTAGTGATCGCTTATGTGCGAGATCGGGATCTGCTGTGGCGGGGAGAGTAGCGTGGAGATCCTCTGCTTCTTCTTGGGGAATAACTGCGGCTTCTGCTGTTGCTTCGACTACGGCTTCTGCTACGACTACGGCTGCGTGACCGAGATCTTCCATAGCTTGGACTTCTTGGGCCATCAACTTTAACACGGATGTAGGCAGTTTCTCCCTATTGAATAGACAGAACTTTCGATTGAAAAGTCTAGGCTTTAGGGCCATCTTTTTAGGCATGCTGACAGACTGCAGATATTGTTTACTAGCAGCACGGAAACAGACAAAGCTTTAAAGCCTATCTCCTGACAAACTGACCACAGACTTACTCAGCCGCTTTGTATATAAACAAACACCACACGTTCCTTACCTTCAAATCCTACTGTTAAGCCCCTTGTATCCAATTCTGGCCAAAGAAAGTATGAAACCTACCTCATGAGATCTAAATTTAGTGTTATCCAGTTTTCGCACAGCGTAGGTCATATCTTCCTTCCGTACAAACTCCACGACACCAGTGCCATCTCGGAAAACATCAGCATAACATACATCACCTGCTTCACGCATGTGATCCTTTAAATCCTGCCAACTTCCACTTGGAGGCAGCCCTATGTAAAAAGCAAGGAGCGACTTTAAAACCGAGTTGTACTCTAGCCTCGTGCAGCTACAGCATCAGCTCAAAGGAATCGACAGAGGCTGTTGAGGAAGCAGACAGCGTGCCTAGAGGGGATGCTCGCAGGCACAGCGTTCCTCCCAGGCTACGCGAGGCAAAACAACTTGGAGCTGCACCACCTCTCCGCTGGGAAGCCTGCCTGGAGGACCCCGGGGGAGCACTGGGGTTAAGAAAAAGAGAGCAAGGACTCACCCGAGACGATCACTCTGTACTCCGAGCGCCGGGACGGGGGGCCGTACCTGCCCCGGGGGGCTCCACCCCCTCCGCCGCCGCCGCCACCTCTGCCGGTGCCCCGGCCGCTCCGAGGGAACTCCACGCGGAGGCGATACCCATCGTAATCGTAGCCGTCCCGCCCGTAGACGGCGTCCTCCGCGTCCCTGCGGGACGGGACGGGGCGGTGAGCGCGGCCGCCCGCCCCGCCCTGCCCACGCGCCGCCCCCCCGCCTTTGTTCCCGCTTCCCGCCCGCCCGTCGCCCCCCTCCATGGGCCCCCGACACCCGCAACGGCGCGGGGCCCGTTACCGCGGCGCAAGGAGCCGGGGCTGCAGGGCGGGGAGCGGCAGCGCGGGCGGCTGCCACCGCCTCGGGCCCAGCGCTGTGGGACACACACACGGGCAGGCCGCAGTGGGTCCCGGGCCGCCCTGCCCTACGGGGGGAGGCTGTGGGGGTCTCACCTGGGGTCCTCAAACTCGACGAAGGCGAAGGGCGGGCCCCCGCGGCGGTTCTTGAGGTCGATGTCGCGGATGGCCCCGTACTTGTAGAAGACGTCCTCGATGTCCTTGGTGCGGATGTCGGGGGGTAGGTTCCCCACGTAGATGCGGCAGTCGTTGTTGCCGGCTGGGCCGCGGATCACGCCCCCTCCGGACATGGCAAGGTCGGCAATGGCTGCGGCGGTGCAGGGCCGGGGCGCAGGGAGCGGGCGGGCGGCGGGCACGGGGCCGGGCTGGGCACACGGGAGCGAGCGCGCCGCCTTCCCCAAACACCGCTTCAAAATGGCGACCGCGGCTCCCTCACGCTCGGAATGCGCGCACTGATTTCACCCCGGGCCGCAGCACCTCCCGCGCCCACACAGAATGAAGCGGGAGCCGGTGTCTTCCGCCGCGCCCTCACTCCTCGATAACGCGCATGCGCGGATCCGGTGAAAAGAAGTCCCTCTTTTCTCGCCCCTCAGAGGCTCCACCCGGAGCGGCCGAACTCGCGCTGGCAGCTCGGTTCCTCCGCGGGAGGCCGCAGCGGGCCCGGTTCTTCCCCGGGAGGCTCCCGGTGCCCGCGGTGAGGGAGCAACGCAACGGCCGACCGCGGCTTTTACAGCGGCAGGCCGTATGACGTCACGTCCGCTGCGGCGTCCGCGCCAAAAAGTCCCGGCCGGGGCAGGGGAGGCTGTGTCCCACAATGCACCGCTCGGGCCCCGCTCCGTGTGCCCAGGAGCGGGTGCTGCTGCCGGGCAGGCGGGAGGGCTGGGGCTCGGCCACGCTGAGGTAAAATGGCTGCCCTGAGGGCACGCAGAGCCGAATCAGGCCTGGGTGCGCTGCTCAGCCGTGCCAGCCTGCTGCTCTCAGTGCCCGTCAGCAGAGAGGTAGGGTCAGGTTTTATGGCTGCGGGGTTATGGCTGTGTTGGGTTTAATCCCCCCGACGCTGCTGTGTTGCGGCTCTAAGGGGCTCTTGCATCAGACTCATCTCAGTGGTGTGCTCTGGAAGGACTCTCAAACCGACACAGGGCAGATCTGGAAGAGTACTTGGCTTTGTTCCGTGTCTGTAAGTGAAGAAAAGAACACAAGAGCACTGGAGGTGGAGGCAAAGGCACATCTGAAGTGGACACGTTCATGAGCGCATCGCTTCCCAGGCACTGGGTGCTGTGGAAGTGCCTGCTCTGTGTTGTGCCTGCAGAGTTATGCCAGGAATGGGCCCAAAAAAGGGTGGAAAAGGATTTCTGGGGAAGCAGCAAGAAAACAACAGGACTATGTTACATTTATGAGGTTATAATTTCAATTAAATCCGTTTAAAGCAGAACATATCCACAAGAAAGAACAGAGGTGGGAGGGATCCTTGTCAAAATCCTTGGAATAGTTGTACTCCTGCAGCCTGGATGTCTCATTTATCCCTTGGCATCTCTTCTATCAGCACAAGCAAATCCACACAGTGCCGGGAGGGTTGAGGCTCTGCAACCACTGTGGTGGGGTCGGAGCAGTACCTGAGCACGTAGCAAACCCCTTTAGGCTCCCTAAGTTAATTAAGGGATTTGAGAAGTGTGTCATGTCTCTTCAGAGCTGTTGTGTGCTTCATTCTTCATTAACCACGCATTTTCCTCTAGAAAACCCAGCTTAGAGAAAGGCTTGCAGGGCAATGGCATGATGTGTTTAACTTACAGATGGAGGTGACATCAGTCATGCTTGTCTCTAGTGATTTTAGCACTGGTGATATCTGTGTTAGATTGCCTGTGGTTCAATAAGGACTGGCATTAATCACTGAAGGATGTTGGGAGAAAGCCCTTCCTCAGAAGAGGAGGTTTGTGAAGTCTAAACTAGCGTCTTTCTAGGGGTTTCGTATGTTTTTAAGAGTCTTAAAGCTTCACTGTTGCATTTGTAATGGAATGGTGACAGTGACTACTGTGGTTCCAACACTGATCTACATGATTTCAGTGGGTGCTTTGGAGCAATAGAACATCACTTTAAACCAGCACAATTTAACCAGCTAATTCAGTTATTTGCCAGCTCACTAGAAATACTCATTGTCCCTTAAAAAGCCCAAAGAACAACTCATCTCCTCACAAAATAATCACAAAGACCCCGAATATGCTCTTCCCCAGTGCAGGAAAGGCTCCATCCTTTGCCAACAAACCAGTCTTTCCTTTCAAAAGCTTATTAAACCACTTTATTTCTTAAAGGCACCATAAAATACTAGTGAGTCTGCCCAAAAGCCCGTTGCATAATTTCTTTTGTGTGTTAATAATCCTTTAAATGGCTGCCTTAATTACCTTAATGAAGTGTCTCTTTATAGAAGTATGGGATGCTTTCTTCCTCATTACCTTTCTTAGCCCTGTGTTATCCGCAGAGGCTTGAAACACTTGGATAAGCTGCAGAGCATTTGTTTGCTTTGTCTGAGTCACTTTTGGCTTTCTGGCTGAATGTGTATGTGGAGAACCATTAGACATTAATTATGGAGGAAAGAAATGACTGGGAAGGAAATGGCAAATAATCCTGGTGGAAAAGGCAGCTACTGTAAAATGACAAAGTTTTCCTTCTCAGAATGGGAGTGATGGAAAACAGGGATTTCCAACTGTGAACGTCAATGGATGGTGCAAAGATGGTGTGTCGCAGTATACGGAAGCAGGGCAACTTCACTAGAGCAGGTTGCTCCAAGGCCCTGCATCCAGCCTGGCCTTGAACACTGCCAGGGATGAGGCAGCCTGGGCCACAGGTACTTCTTCTTATGCAAAGATACTGAAATGCTTTATAATGGGGTCACTTGGTTTCATTTCAGAGCCGTGGCTGAGCGGGCTGCACCGCGGTTCTGTGAGCAGCTCCCATCACCTTCACCACTTGCCTGGCTCCATCAGACAAAACCTGTTTTTCCTAATCCTCAGACTGCACAATCCAGCTGGGATTAGTCTTCACTAATCTTACTTGGTGGCAAAATAACAATTCATCAAAGCCCAGATTGTTTGGAAGAAAAGGGTCATTTTCACAATGGCGCCTTACGTTGTGACAGGGGTTTTGAGAACTAAGCTTTGAATTGTCCAAACTTGCTTTTTCCTTCCCTTAACAGTTGTGAATACGCTGCTCAAATGCTTTCCTTTGCCATTTCGACAGTAACATGAAGCTGCACAGACAGTGTCTATGGAGATTGAAATGTAAAGCTCATATTTTGGGGGCCTTTGATTTTAAAGAGTGCCTCAATGTGATCAAAGTTACTCATTTGCCTGTAGAAAAAGACAGAAAAATAGAGGCTATGATTTTCTTTCAGGGAAACTGAGTACAGCTAAGGCAGGGGGAGCATGTGCAAGTTGGAAACGATTCCCATCAAGTGCATGGTGACAGAGCTTGTTTTAGTTATGTAGGTTTAGATGTCAGCACCACGCTTTCACACGCACATGCTGCAGCATGTCGTGATGCAAACAAACACCACAAAGCGCTCTGACTGTGTGATTTCTCCTGCAGGGACACACGCAGGTAGGGATTTAAAGCAGCAAAGCCACCTAGAGGAGCAGGCTGCAGGAGAACCCTGGTGTTTTGTGTAGATAACAGCACCTGGATTCAGATCATGCCTGGCAGGCGCCATGAAAGTGTTCATTTATAGATATTCCGAAACACTGCTCTCTTTATGTCGTTAGAACAGCCACAGCATCGCAAGGCTTGGGCATGATGTGCTCAGCAGAGATCTGATCCTATGGAGCAGATGCCTGGGGCCCTTCCAAGAGCATCCATTGCAGCCCAAGCCCATCCCTGCAGGACCACGAGCCACCTCATCACCCCACTCCGGTCTCTATCTGCCCAGCTGGCTGGAGGGACACAAGGAAATGGAATGTAGTTAAATCCTATGTGGTATTTGCCTGGCTAGTAGCAATTAAATGTTAATTAATCGTTAATTAAAGTTAGTTAATTAAAGGTTAATTTAAAAACCATTTTCAAAGAAATAAAACTTAGGGATTTGATGTGATTTCTGCTCTCATGTTTGTAATTTACTCTGATTTTCAGTGCCTTATTTCACCTTTGATTCCTGCACCATGTCTGGGGGCAGTGGTTAGCACAGACTGAAGAGTTTAAATGACCCCCTTGCCAAACCTATTTTAATTGATTTCTATCCCTGGGAAAACGTTTATGTTCCTACAGCCTGATGTGGATGGAGGAAAATGGATGCAAACTGTTAATGAAAATAAACAGCAAAAAGGAGCGTATCTGTTTGGGTTGCTGATTTGAGAACGATCCTTGTGGTTAGGCAGAGACCTCAAACGCTCCTTTGCTCCTTTTTCTGTTGCCGTTTTTATTTCCCTGTGCTCTTCCTGCAGTTCCCTCCTTTCTCCTCGACACCTTCCCACGTCCCAGGCACCAGCACCAGGAGCTCACCGACCCCATCTGACACCTGCTTTCCCACCACTTGGGTTTTGTCTTGGAGCAAGTGGTGCTGTCCTGATAGAGGGAACTGAAACAGCGAGTGGTGACAAAACACTGAGTGAGGCAGCCCTGTGCTGCCGGGCTCTTAAACAGGCTGTATTTGTCCATTACCAGTATCGATGGCTTCTTATTTGACACCTGGCATCTGTCACCTTCCCCACCAGGAAACCACATCAGTGAGCACACTGCATTTAGATATCCTGTGGACATCTTCATGGTGGCTGTGCCACTGAGCTGAGCCCTGGGAGCGTGGGTAGAGCTGAATCTTTTTGTCCTCCCAAAATAACCCTCATTTGCTAGGCCTGAGTGGCTTCTAAAAGGAGGTTTTCCATCTTTCCATTAGCTTTCCATCAGAGAGCCGCCGGCAGCGATGCCACCATCCCCGCTGCCTCCTTGGCTGGGGCTTTCAGCGATATCAGGATGCAGACCTTGTGGCATCATTGTGGGTTGGCTGAGTTTATTTTAATACAAGGAAATAGAATGAGTGAGAAAGGCATTAAAATGTGTTTCAAGCAGAGTAGTTTTAAATGCAACTAAAGTTTTTGGAAGTGTTTCATTGACGTGCATAATTCTATATGAACAGCTGAGAAAGGCGAAGGTAAAAGGTAAAATCAACTGCTTTTAAATGAGCAAGTTAGACTATGTAGTCGGAAATGAGGAGTGGAAGCACCCTGGTTATCTGCTACTGGCTGTTCTGCACCAAACTATGTGGGGCAAAGCAAAACCAAGTCGATTTTCTTGTCTTTTATGGTATCAGGCTTACAGCCATGGTCTTGGGCCATCCCTTGCGAGGCTTTTTTTGCTGTTAAGAGCAGAGGAAGAAAGAACAATGAATGTGTGCTGCCTGGTTGTATGGGCACACATAAAGCAGAGCCTCTGTGTACTTTTGTTTGCTCTGAGAGCATCAAAGATGTCAGTGAGTAATTTTTTGTCTTCAGGGCTTTCTTTTTATTATTATTCCCCATTTTACTCCTCCTTATCCACAGCAGAAGGCAGCTTTGCTCCCTAACCGATTGCTTGCCTGTGCTGTGATGGACCTAAGTACCCCCTGAGCACTGGTGGGGCTGGGCTGAACTGGAAATGCACCTTCCAGACACCCACATGGTGGGTTTACATGAAGGAGAGGGGTTTGGGTGCTCACAGGAGCCTGGGGAACCTGCTGTGTCCCCGGTGCTCCATTGGCACAGATGTGTTTGCTGCGTGGAGCCCAGCACGGAGGCAGAGCCATCTGAGGCCACCGACGCTGTTTCCAAGGACACATGCCATCTGTGCGGAGGTTTGCTCTCCTCCACGGATGTTTCCTTGCCATGGGACCTCAGCAGCTGCTGCATTCCATTACCAACCACCACCTTTGCAGGCTTTGCCAAGTTTCCTCACTCGAAACCTCTCCTCTTCCCTTGCCATGAAGTGCATTCCTGACACCTCCTCCCTGTCTCGCCATGAATAACCAGCACCCCTCACACTGGGAATGTGGCAGGATCCTGCCCAGTAACTCCCACTCTGGGGGGCTGCCAGGCAGGGGATGGGATGCACTCACAGCCCCTGGAGTGAATTACACCCCAATAAATCAACTCTGGTGTGTTTTGCTGTACTTCCATGGCAGATTAAGCAATAGGCAGAGTAACCTTAAGCATTCCTCTAATTAAAACAAAATCCCTTGTGGCCTCTTATATACAGAGAGATATTACAGACTTCAGGGATGTATAAATTCCATTACTGATGGGATGAAGCATTGCAGCTCCTTCCATAGGGTTCAGTGAGAGCATTAACAGAGGAGAGGCCGAGCTGGTGAGGAGGGCAAGGAAGGTTTGGCTGGTGCTGTCACTGAGCCTGTGAACACTTGCCTGTATAAATATACATTTATATACAGGGCTGCCTTGCAAAGCATCACCTCCAGTGCCTGCCCCTCATTTCTGGTCCTGCTTTAAGGGGTGTTTGTGGGTTTGCAGAGTTGCACCCACAGTGCAACGAAATCCATTCACGATGGTCGTTTTTAGCATTGCAGGATCACTTCTGGTAAAGCCTCAGCAGTGATCAAAGGACGGGACGTGTTTTCCACTGAGAAACAACCACTCAGAAGCTTTTTGGGGCTAATTTTATGCTTAGTAAGTTGCTCTACCTTGAAGAACAACCCCAAGTAATGTGAGTGTGTAGTGGAAACGTCTGCCAGCCTGGATGAAAATGGTGCTGGCGGTAGCTTCTGCAACATAAACATTACAGAAAAATAGTGTAAATATGGGGGATTCTGTCGTTTTTTCCCCCTCATTTCTTCCCTCACGCAGGCCAGGAACTGCTATAGCTTAAATAAATCACTGCAGAAGTGAGACTGACCTAAATCGTTCTACACCATGCAGACCTCCTTGCCTGCTTTTGGAGCAGCTCGTGTTTATACTGTGCCAGCACAGAGTTTAAGCTGTCTGTGCGGCAGTAGCTGCTTCCCACACCCTGGGGAGCTCGGGGGAAGGTGTGAGATCAGCTCCCGTGTGGCTGCTGGGGAGACAGAACCACCAGCTCAGCGGGTATTGTGGTGCTGTACCATCCCATGCCTGGCGCTGGTGGGATTCCCTGCCCTGTGGGAATGCTGCTGTGCATCCAGTTGGGCCAAGCACAAGTGCCCAGTTAATTAATGCACAAGTGTCTAATCACTGAATGCACAAGTGCCCAGTTCGTTTACATTTGAGCACCCAACATGCTCACACATTAGCACCCAATTAGTGCATCAGCACCTAATTAGTTCACCCATTAGTGCCCTGGAGGTGCATGAGTGCCTGACCAGTGCAGAAGCAACCAAAAAGGTCCTGTAGTGAACCTGCACAGTCACAGTGAGCTCTTGCACAAGTGCAGGATTAGTCCATGCATGGACACAGGGTTGGTTTGCATATGAATGCCCAGTTAGTGTGCACATGACTGCTGAGCTATTCCATGCATGAGCACCAATTTACACTGGTTTCCCAGTTGGTTCCTGAAGCAGGGACACCCCATGGGGCTGAAGCCTGTGCCTCAGAGCAGGGGAGGAAGGAGGAAACAGAGAGGCTGCTGTGGATGTGCTGCAGGAGGAAACCCCAAACCTGCAGCCACCCCAAAGCAACCCGGCATTGCCTTGGCACCCACAGCTCATCCGAGAGCAATGCTGTGGTCTGCTCAACCACGAAACCAACACTGGTGGGCCCTGTGGCTCACAGGAGGGTGCAGTAGAGGATCCCAACAGCACTTCCAGCCTTAAGAGATTTAGGAAGCCTTTGATGTGGAGGCAGGGCCCCTTGTAGGACCAACTTCCTTGTAGGACCAGATTCCTTTGTTTATGTTGTCTCCAAAGCCATCTTTCACTTCGGGACAGATCAGATTGATGCGAGTTCCCAGCTCTCTGCACCCAGCTGGTGTGGGAGCCAGGGCTGGGCTGCATCACCCCTCGTCCCTCCGCATGCACAAAGGCAGATGTTGTATTACTGATAGGACCCCGCTGAGATTCCAGGCTCTTATTTACAGCTCCTGCATGAACTGCACACCGCGAGTCACTTGCAAAACTTGCAGCAAGCGGATGACCTGAATCCATATTAATAAGGCTCACAAGTGGTTTAGTATTAGTTTTTCCTACCTCGCTTGCAGGATGCCAAGGAACGCGCTACCTCCTGGAAAGCGACGTTAGACAAGAAGCCATCTACGGCTTGTCACAGTTTTAAGCCCGTTTGCCTTGGAGATGAGCCCAGGCTGCCCTGCCGTGGTGCCACGCTGCAGCTACCACTGCTCCAGGGCAGATCCAACAGAAGACATGAGCTATTGTCTAGTGCACAAGTAGACAAGTCTAGCTATTGCATAGTGCACACCGGAGACACCAAAGGGCCTTGGTGGCTTTGGGGACAGGGCATTGCATGGCCCAAGGACGTGCTTGGGGGTTTGAGACACACTGATCCCAGCAGCAATAATGGGTAGTGGCCCTCTTCCCAGCTGGGGAGCCTGGGGGACAGTTCCAGGGCTGGTTTTGTGCACTCTGGTCTGTAGATTAGGCATGGATGAGGTGCCCGGAGCATCAGGCACAAGGAGAACGTGATTCCCATTCCCTATGGGATGTGAGAGTAACTCATGGGAGACAGAAATGCACCCAGACTGGATCTGTGCCTCAAAGAGGATGGCAAGTAGTGAAAACACTTTATCCTCCCAAATTTGTGAACCATAAACTGAAGGACTTGGGGTCTTATATTGAGTGATCCTCAGCATCAGCATTGCAGGTCCTCGCTGGAGTTTTACATTTCCTTTTGTAGGGCATTTTCTTTTTCCACGGGATTTATTCAGGTTCTATAGCAGGATTCAGGGAGACAATAACGTACATTAACGAGGGCGCTGAAAACTGCTTCACAGACAAGACTGATCAAAGCACAGCCCTGGACTGATCACAAACCCTCCCTCATGCAGTTTGCAAAGCACTTGCCAAAACAGTCAACTCCTGGTACAAAATAACAGGTGAGGATGTGGCTGCAGCAGCTGGGAAGCTGGTGGATGGGGACTGCAGCCTGTGGAAGGGCAGATCCAGCTCACCCCATGGCTGCC